CCTCTTCAGCCAGCATTTCTTTTGATATGGTTTCTAAGATCTTCCATCACAAAGGAATTCTCCTAGATCTTTCTCTGAATGGTCTGGAATTAGAGAGCTGATGAGATGCAACTTGAGGATATTCCATATCCCACTCATACAATGAGGATACATCTTTCTCCTTGTGAGCTCCAACTTCAATTTATCCTTCCATTTGTCAAGATACTATTAGGAGACACCCAATGTCTAACTTTGATAGACTTGGCTCTTCCCAGCAATGCAAGCACCGAAGACAAGTCCAAAAGACTCATGATGGAAAACACTATCCACATCCAAAGAAAGAACCATGGAGTCTGAATGCAAATGCAAGCATACTATTTGCTCTCCTTTTCCTTTGTTGTTTTGTTTTATTGCTTCATTCTCATGTTTTCTCCCATTAGTTCTAATTGTTCTTTACATCATGACTAATGGGAAAAAATGCTTAAATAAGTAGAGACTATGTCAGATTATACACCATCTTGGGGGGGGGAGAAAATTTAAAATTCAAGATTTTATGGAAGTGAATGTTGCAAACTAAAAATAAATAAATTAATTATTTAAAAAAATAAAAAGGGAAAAGGGAAAAAAAAGGAGACACCCTGTTTTTCGGAGCTAAGCTCCAGCAAGCAAGCTGTGCCCTGAACTTGGTATAACAACAATCCTTTGTGCTCATCTTCTGGAACAGATGGTCCCTGAGCTTCGGGCAAGCACCAATAGGGCCAGACATGAAGCCCTGCTATGAATGAACTTTTTGTCACTAGATAACCTTGCCTCACTGCTGCTGTTGTGCCTCACTTGCTGCACCACATTGTTTGACTCTTTGTCTAGCTACAAGTATATAAATCAAGATTCACCCCTACTGCCTCAGGTCCCCCCCACTAGGAAAGGGGTCCTAGCACATGTGTCTAATCTGCCTCATTTTGAAATTAAACTTCTGTTTGATTCCTGACTTTCCTGTCTCTAGCCTGCTCTGTTCAGCTCTGGCCATCCACAGGTTAGAGGCCAGTTTCATCTGGCTGGCACACTCTTGTAGTATTAGGAAGTCTTCAAATTCAAATACTTCAGGATTTGGCACAGAGGATGAACAGCTGGGTCTCCTGTGGTGTTTATTGGAACCTCTTGCCTCTGTCTTCTCATAAACCTCTGTTGCAAAGGGAAATGGACGGTCAAAGTGGGCAGATATTGGGTCCCAGCTTATTGCTTTCAATATCCTGCTAGAATTTTGAAAAGACTAGAATTAGTTACAACTAGTACTGACACTCCAGTGAGTGTTGAAGGGTCCAAACATGGCAGAGCCAGTGTCCTCTTTTCTGCTGACACCAACAATTTACATGAAGAATTTCAAGCTTACCTGGGTGTATCCCAGATATGAATAGTGTTTATCAATGGAACCACCAACTCAAGACGGAAGCAAGCTGAAATTCAGTAGGGATAAATGTCAAGTCTTGTACTTGGATACAATCAACTTTACAAGCAAAACATGAAGGATGGGTAAACTGCAGGTTCAACGTGAGTCAGCAGTGTGAAGTAACAGCCAAAAAAGCTAATGTGATCATAGTCTGTATTAAAAGAAGCATAGGTTCTAGGAACAAAGGAACATTGTGTTCTCGGAACTTCATGTGGAGTACTGTGTTCAGTTCTCCTTTAAGAAGGATATCGATAAGGAGAGAGTGTCTAGAGTAGGGGTGGGGAACCTGTGGCCTCGAGGCCGCATGTGGCCTTCTAAGTCTTTGGGTGGAGCCTTTTGACTAAGTCCAAGTTTTACCGAACAAATTTTTTATTAAGGGGATTTGTTCTGTGAAGTTTGGATTCAGTCAAAGGGCCGCACTTGAGGACCTAGAGGACCATATGTGGCCTGGAGTCTGAAGGTTCCCACCCCTGCTCTAGAGGATGGCATTCAAGATGGTGAAAGAACTCGATACTGTAAGGTATGCTGTCCCTTTAAGACAAATGGAGCAGTTTATTGTTGAAAGGGAGAAAAGAATTATTTGTTTAAAAGCAAATATCTATATCAAATTAAAGTGTGTGTGTGTGTGTGTGTGTGTGTGTGTGTGTGTGTGTGTGTGAGAAAAAGCATTGCTTTTAGAAAGAATTTGAGCAGTTTTGGACAGAAAATGAATTGTGTTATAAATAGAAAGACTCAAATCACCTTGAATGCCTTAATTCTGTGTGAATACTTTTATATTTTAAAGAAGCCAAGAAAGATCTTATATTTATTTTAAAAACTAGAGAATTACAGTTGTAAAGAAACAGCATCAAAAACGCCAAAGGAACTAAAGCACTGTGTTGAAGACTTAGAATTGTAAAGCTTTATGGTACTTCGGCTCATTTGCATTATGATTAACAAGGGTAAAACTAAAAAAACTAGGCTTCATATAAACATTTGAAGACTGATATGTGCTTTTTAAAAGACTATCAATTTGACAGAGGAAATTTGAGGAGCAGTGACTTTTTAAGTGAAAAGTGAGTCACTGAGAGTATGGAGGCTCTTATTTAAGTCATTGAAATATATAGAAACCAGATCTAGTTTCCCAGTATAGGAGCCTTAGAGAAAAACCTGACATAGGAACCTCAGGAGAAGAACTGGAAATATAACTGAGGAGATGAAAAGCTGCTCTGTTGGACCTGTGGAAATTAGAAGTAGTCAGTTATGAGACAACTTCTAAGTTTGACTTATGGGAGAGGGAATTGACTCCATTGGCCAAGAACTTAAGTGATAGATATTTCCTTTCAGTGACACAGTCTTGCTATTAGTTTCCACCTTTGGCTTGAGCATAAAAAGCCAAACAGGATTTGTAACTGATTTTGTATCCTGGCTGGGTTTGTTTACTTGGCTGAATCAAACTGAGCCATATTGTTGGGAGCTCTGTTTTGAATGGTCAACACAAAACTTGAGCGAAGGAATAACTGGCTAGTCTAGTCTAAATAGCCTAGACATATAGACACTTTGATGTACTTTACAATATTGTTAGGTACTAACTGTATAAATATCACCCACCATGTTACCATGTGAGTGGCTGGTTTTATAGATAGAAAACTTATCTATGGGACCTTCAGAGTTAAGAGAAGTGATTAGAAGAATTGTTCAACACTCAAGGGTTACCCCCTAGGATTTTAGAGAGTTTGAGGGTAACGTTGTAGTGTTAGTCTATCTCTGAGAATTTAGACCTACCATGGTGAGGACAGGTTGGATTGAATGAGCCAATCCCAGAGAGTGAGTGGGTATCAACATGCCCCATGCAAGGGGTGCAATATATATACTGTCTTACAGAGTATAGATAGCTATTATATATCACCTCACCCTGTACTGCCATCATACTTCCCATTACATTTTAAGGTACACCATCGTGTGGTATATCTACACCCATTGATGATTTCATTGGCTGTGTTATAATCCAAAACATATGAAGATTGTGGAAGGAACTGAGCATATTTAGCTTGGAGAAAGGAAAATCCATAGTAGAAACACCCTATATGTGGGGTAAAGTACCTGAAGGGCTCTCATGTACAAGAGGGATTAGACCTGATTTCCTCTAAACCTCTTCCAGCTCTAAATCTATGATCCTATGATTTGTATGATTTGTTTCATCCCAAAGGGCAGACTTAGGAGAATTCCATATAAGTCGTTAAGTGACCTATTTAGGCTTTATGTCAAGGAAAACTTTTTTTTAACAATTAGAGCTGTCCAAAAGTTGAATGGGCTGCTGTAAGAGGTGGTGAGTTCCTCTTCTTTGGAGGTCTTCAAACAGAGACTGGATGCCCACTTGTCTAGTACATAGCGGAGATTCCTTTGGAGTATGGATTTGACAGGATCCTGCGGCGGTCTCTCCAAACTCTTAAATTCTGTGATTCTGCAATTCTAGTGTGTCCCATCTGGGAAAGATGCATTGTGGCCAGAAACCTAGTAAGGAGATGGGAGATAGTGTGTACTGGCCCTCTGGAATCCAGAGCAGGGCCAGTCCAGCTTGTAGCCCTTAGACTATCTCAAAGCCCACATGAAGAAGTGTCCCAAGCAGGGTCTGGCTGAGTTGTGGCCCTTTGAGACTATTTGAATGTTTTCGTCAGGTACAAATTTTCTGACTTGAGAAAATGGTACTAATGGTAAACTTCTTAAAAAAAAATTTTTTTGTCAGACTTGATTAGTCAATTTAATCAAATTGGCAAATCACATAGTCTGGCCTAATGAAAAAAGGGAAAATCAAGTGTGATTAGAGTTATTCATCACATATAGCATGAGGGTGGGGGTGTCATTGAGTGACTTGAAGGGAGGCAGAAAAGACAGCTCCAGTCTCTTGTTCTCCTCCCCTTCTCCAAAGGAGACTTTAATTCCTGCCAGAAGGATAATAGGGGGTTAGGGACAACAGAAATTTGGCCACTCTTTTCCTCACAGAGAGGGGACACCAAGCTATATGTATGTTTTCTCTTAAATATTATTAATCTAGAGGATGTTATTTTCAGGTTTGAGCTAACTTCTGGTTGTTGTTTATTACTGGGGGTAAGGAGGAAGATAAGCTTTATGCCCATGGTATGACTCTCTTCCTACCAAATAAAATGCCAGTTACACGATGAACACACATACTTAGCCAAGAAAACCCCTTTGTCAAAATTGGTAACAAGACAGAAATCAGAGAAGGTAAACAGATGAGAATCTATACCAGACAATAGAGAATGAAGGAGTTCTCCCATTGGGGGAAGGTAACTTAGCTCAACCAAGAGAGTTCCTGTAGTTTCTAGTGAAGCACACTGGCAGTAGGGACATGATAGAGACTGCCAGGTCTTATCAAGTCTTCCTGGAGTCTTTTTCTTCAGGACTTGAAGCTGAGGTTGCTCCCTTCTCTCCTTCTTCTTGAAGCTGGAAACCAGAAGCACCCGGGAGACAGCAGAGCCCGAAAACTGAAGAGAGAGAAGTTCTCTTCCTCTTGTCAACTCTGCCCCACCCCTCATAAAGGGCAGGACAATCGTCTCCACCAATAATGAGGGAGTCCCATACTAATGGTCTTTGGGACTGGGGTTACAAAAGGAACAGAATTGAAAACTGAAGGAAAAGGAAGAGTAGGGTCCAGGTTACAGCTAGATTAGGAACGATAAACAGTGAACTAGAAGAGGTGCTAGTAAAGGAAAACAACTTGAGAGAAGGCACTCTTTTTAGCGCTGGAGAGCCCACCTTTGAATGTCTGAAGTCGGAAGATTGGGAACAAAAATTTTTTGTTTATTTTCCTATCAGCTGTTGGAGAGAAGGGACAGTGGGAAAAGCCAGCTGCCAGCTTTTTCAGGAGTCAACTGCAGTTTCAAAAGCTTCAGACCAGGTATTTATAAGCTGAGATTTGAAAATCCCTTGTGGAGCAGCTAGGAATTGAAAACAATTTTTCGGTTCAAAGTTTGTATTTACCTAGAACTTGAGCACTTACAAGGCAGAGTTCCTACTTTCTGCTTTGTATATAATGAAAGGGACTTATTTATCCTATCCTGCTGGCGCGTCCTAATTTAAGTGCATTTTCTATACAATAATGCACATTTATTTGAATCATGGAGATTCAGAGGGAGGAAACGTGTTACAGTCAATGGAGAGAATGTGAAGGTACTGTTTCAGCTCAGGCAAGTGACGATATTCTCATTGAGAATGATACACACTTTTTTCTTATAACTTAGTGGGAAGTTAGTCATTACTGAGGGGAAAAGTAAACAAATTGACATGCAAGAGCAGGGTTTTGCACTCTAGACCAAATTTTTTCTTTGAAGATTGTTTGTTTTATAAAGTTCTCTTATTCTGGAGGTGGATAATAATCTTCACATCTTCTGACTTGAAATCATCATTTACTTATTATTTTTAATTTATGGAATAATACAAGCATTTCCGTAATATAGTATAATGAAAAAGATGATGGCACATGAAACTGCAAATCTGCTATGCACAACTTGCTATTCCTTTCAAATATACAACAAAATTATCATGTAAATTTCTTTTTTTACCTTTTTTTCCCTTCCTTTTCTCTCTCTCTCTCTCCCCACGGCTACCATTAGACACAAATAGGTGTATATCTATGTAAAATTGTTCTATACATATTTCTATTTATCAGTTCTTTCTCTGGATGGTGATAGTTGGCTTGAAATTAACATAATGTGAAAGAAAGTTTCACTCTGATCTGGTTAGCATTTCTAGGCCCACCAGTTAGTCTGTGAGCTCTTTGGGGCCAAGTTGCTTTATTTATTGCAGCCTTCTAGCACAGTGCTTTGTAAGTAGCAGATACTAAACAAAATGTTGAATTCATTTGAATTGTATTAAAAGAAGCATAGGTTCTAGGAACAGAGGAACACAGGTCTAGCTGAAGGCCAAGGGAAGTGTGCTAGGATTTAGCTAGGGCAATCTCCCTCATTTTACAGATGAGGAAACTTTAGCCAAGACAGCTTAAATAACTTGCCCATGGTCACACAGGCCAGAGTCAGGATTCAAACCTAGGTCTTCTGTCTCTAAATTCATCACTCTTTCAACTGCACTTTAATAGAAAGACAGCCTGAGTGCTGCATGGATATACAGGAAATACTTAAAACTCTAAAGGCCTTCAATGCATTGGGTAGATCCTCTGCAGAGTGTTTGTGGAAGAATAAATGGGTGTGCTGGTAAATAGGCTCTTCTGGGAAAAAAAGGTGCCTAGAACACACACTTTTAAATTTAAATTATTAACATTTGCTTCATCACTTTCTTACCTCTAGAAATCAACAAAACAATATGTCAAGGCCTGATTTGTAGCTTGATATCCCAAGTGTAAATGTTCATCTGAAAATTTAACAGTTGACAGAGCTAGCTCCAGGTCACCTCTTGATTACAGGGACAGAGGTCGAAGGCCAGGCACAGGTGGTCGAAACCTGTCTCTGCTTCTATCTGTCTTTCTCTCTGTGTCTCTCTCTTTCTCGCTGTCTCTTTTCATCCTAGACTGGGGAAAGAATACAGGAAGGAGTTGTGCATTTCAAACCTTGTCAAGATCATCTCATCAAGAAATTAGAGGAAAGGAGAAAAAGCTGGGGTTTAGGATTAGTCTCTGACTTTATTTCATTGCAGCAAGAGTTTCATAGCTGGTGCAGCCTCATTCCATTTTACCAGCTTGTTTTGTATCCCTGTACCTCAGACTTTGTCTCCACTATTGACCTCCTTTGACTACTTTGTCCAGGATCTCCAGCTGATTAGTAACGGCTCCCAACCTGGGCTGCAGCTGCAGTGGCTCAGTAGCTGTGGCAGAAACCACAAACAGCCAGTGACTATAGGCAGCTGCCTCTCCCTCAGAGAAAACCTAGTCATTCCAAACAGCTTGGAAGGAAGGCAGTACGAAAGTCACTCTCAGGGGGCAGCTAGGTGGCAGTGGATAGAACACTGGCCCTGAAGTCAGGAGGACCTGAGTTCAAATCCGGCCTTAGACCAAACACTTGACACTTACTAGCTGTGTGACCCTGGGCAAGTCACTTAACCCCAATTGCCTAAGGCAAAAAAAGTCTCTAGGGAGGAATCCATAGAACAGATAAAGGGTGAAGGAGTGAGCTGACCCTGCCCACTGCATCTCACCTTGTTTCTAGCCTTTTGTGTGGCTTCCTCCTGCAGTCTGGAAAGCATAGTGAGCTGGTACCTCTTTTTGCATAGTTTGAGGACTCAATTTCCACTGTGGCAGCCTTTGGGGTCCCTCAATCTCCCACATATGAAATGCATTGCAAACCTCCCCTAGAAATTCTATCTATTTATCTCTTTGTCTGTCTGTCTATCTGATGTACATTATAACAAAGATGGTCAAGAGACCTGAATTCCGGCCCCGGCTCTGCTACTATCTTAATAGAGCCTATCCATGGTTAGAGGGCAACCACTCCATACCACTCCCTCATGTGGCACAAACTTTTATCTGTGTCTTTAAAAGTTAACTTTTAAAATTATTATTGACAGTGACGTTTTCCTCCAGTTGTTCTCTCTCAGACTGTGAATCCCTGGGCAGGAGGGGGTGGGGGATGCCATAGAGATCGGCATTTCATGTATTGCCTCAGGCACCTGGAAATGCATTTAATATGGATGTGTGGTGATGGAACCTGATTATGTTTCAACAGTAAGTGTATAATTCCACTTTGAGAAAAAATGAGTCTACCATGTCATCCTTCTACTCTATAAATACCAGTGGCTCACTGCTGACTACATGAGCAAATATAAAGTCACCTGGTTGGCATTGGCATTGAAAGACCTTTCCAAAGTGGTCCCTTCCCACCTTTTATGCTTTTTTACACGTACTCCCCTCCATGCTACAGTGACCCACCTCACCCAATATTCTCTGTTCTTACTCTGGGCTTTGCACTCCTGTCCCTAGGCCTGGAATCTTCTTCACCTCAACGCCTCCATTTTTAGCTTCCTTGGCTTCCTTCAAGGCTTAGCTCGTTTCCCATTTTCTATTGGAGGCTTTTCCTGGTCTCATTTCCTCCCCCCACCCCCCACCAGATTAGTAGCCCTTTGCACAACATGTGTATATATATATATAATCTACAGAGTTCTTTGCATATTGCTTCCCTCCTTAGAATATAAGCTCTTTGAGGGCAGAGACTGTGTTTTTGTTTTCTTGGTTTCTCAGTACTTGACACATAGTAAGTGCTTAATAAATAAATGCTTGTTGATTGATTTATTTATTGATTTCTAACTGAAGCTGAAGATCTTAAGTGACATCTTGGACAAGTCATTTAACTTTGTGTCATATTTGCAGGAAATAGAGTAAAAGCACGTTTGGATTGCCAATCCCAAATTCTAAACCTCAGCTGAAAAATGCATAGGAAATTTTCTTTTTAAGATCAGGTAGAATAATGGGCATCATATTGCTTGTCTTCTCAATGGGTAGGGGAGAGGTTGAAGGGAGGGAATTTGAAACTCAAAATTAAAGAAAAAAAAAGAAAAAGATTGCATAGATAATTAGCTCAGCCAGGACTCAAAACCAGGTCTCTTGTGTCTCAGTCCGACGTCTTTCTTGCTAAACCATACCGCCACTTTAATTCCTTTTAATTATTTTTTTTTTAGACCTTCAGGTTTGATTGAAAACTGTCCCGTAGAAACTTCTTGAGTTTGGGATCCCAACAATGGCCCAGATAATAGTCCACCCAAAAATAGCTCTTACTGATGAACCACTATCTATCCGAGTGACCGGCCTGCTCCCTAACCAGATGGTAGTGCTGCAGGCAAAATTGACGAGCGAAAAAGGAGAGATCTTTTATTCTCAAGTGTTCTATAAGGCTGATGAAAGTGGAGAGATAGACCTGCAGCACGCAGCAGCGCTCGGAGGGGACTATGTGGGCGTTCATCCTATGGGCCTCTTCTGGTCCCTGAAACCGAAGAAGATTGCATCTAGGCTACTGAAACAGGATGTGATAAACAGTCCGTTCCTAGTTCAGCTATCAGTACATGATTCAAACATCATTTTCCATGAATCACCTGGATCTCTTAAGGCCAGTGAGACTGTGGAGAGATGGTACTCAGTACCTGGAGTACAAAGAATCCAGATAAAGGAAGGTCGAATTAGAGGAATTCTCTTTCTCCCGCCAGGTGAGTATTGAATGAGTCATTCTTATTCCTTAATTCTCAATCTAATTTCTTCTCTCTTTGATGGGCTTATGTCTCTCTTCAAACATATAGCTTAGAGGTGAGTAATAATATTCTCAGTCTCCTCAGAATTCAGCATGAGAGATTGTCTTTCGATCATACCCAGTTTGTAGCCAAGTCCCAAATATTAGGCTGATGTAAACCATTCTGGAGCTAGAGTTATGCCATGGTCACTTTCCTGCTAATAAGCCCTTGGGATACTCCTTCACCCTGATCAACAAAGTTTCCAGGCTCCATTTTAGCCTAGAAATCTGGAAAAAGCTCACGCTCACACTGTGGAACCCTAACCTGACCCCTGGGGCTCAATCTAGCTCCTGTTCTCATGTCTGAAATGGCAGTTCAGACTGAGGACCTATAACTGGCCTGGAACTAGCACACTGCTTCCATTCATCCGGGATCCCCCTTTTCTTCTTTGCTCTTTCACTTGGTGATACCATTTGCTTCCGTGTGTTCAATTCTCCTCTCCAACCAGATGGTCCCTATAAATCCAGCCTTAGTTTTCCCCCTGACTTCCAGTCCCTCAGCACTAACTGCCTGTTAGAAAAATCTGAAACAAACAAAATAATCTACTACAGGAGTATGTGAAGGAAACCCTTTTATGCTTCTCGTGAGAAGCGGGTACACCACACCCCAGTGGCATGTGTGCACTGGTACAAAAGTAGAGTTAACTTTTAAATGGTTAATAAAATCCGTACTCCTCCCATTTGAGCTGGGATTGGTCAGCTCATTTGGTTTATACTCTTCCTGAACTAGCCATCCCATGTTCCTCCAGGTTACTCCTTGTCAAGTTCACTCCTCTCAGATCATAGAGCTCATGTTCAAAAATGGCAGCTATCTCCACCCTCGGGTGTGTCAGTTAATCTCCAATGAGTTTATTAAGCAAGCACAGTGGAGAAAAGCCTTTGCCCAGTCCTTAACCCTGAGGAGGCTGCAACTGGTTTAGCCTCCAGGGCTCTGACTTAAAGCACTAGTTGTTTTGCAGAAGGTTTGGGGCACTTTCTGATTGGTTGAGGGACCACCCACAAGATCTTGGAAGTCCTCCTTAGAATTCCCGTGTTCTGCTGTGGAAGCCTAACTTCTAAACCTTTCCCACACTGCCTATTGGACATTCCAAACTGGATGCAATACTCAGTGAGGGCCAACTCAATTAGCCTAAAACAAAATTCATTGTTTTCCCTGCCCTCGGTCCCCAGCCCCCAAACCCCGCCTCCTTTCAGACTTCCTTATTGTGGAGCTCCAGTTGTTATTTAGTGGTTTTCACTTATGTGTGGCTCTTCATGACCCCATTTGGGGTTTTCTTGGCAAAGATACTGGGAGTGCATCGCCATTTCCTAGATTCTACAGCTCATTTCACAGATGAGGAAGCTGAGGCAAACAGGGTTAAGTGACTTGCTCGGGGTCACACAGCTAGTAAGTGCCTGAGGCCAGATTTGAACTCAGGAAAATGAGTCTTCCTGATTGAAGTCCCTGCACTCCATCCACTGAGCCACCTAGCTGCCCGTTATTTTCACGGTTGCCGAACAATAAATGTTTATTGAGTGATTGATTGTTAGACTGAGTCAATTGGGTTTGTAACCTTGTTGTCATTCTAAATTTCTCACTCTTACTCGGCCCACATAGCTTATCAGTTGCCAAATCTGGTTATTTCTCTACATCTCTCACATGCAACCCCTTCTTTCCACTTGTAACTTTATTCTAAGTTCAGACCTTCATCATTTTCTTCGTGTTCTATTGTGATAGTCTAAGTACAGCAGATAGAAAGAATGCTGGTCTTGGTGACAGGAAGACCTGAGTTTGAACCATTCTCAGAAGGTCATGCATTTGCTGTGTGACTCAGGGCAAGTCACTTGACCTCTCTGTGCCTCAGTTTCTTCATCTATAAAATGAAGGCTTTATACACAGAGTCTTCTATGGTTCCTTACAGCTCTAAATTTATGATCTATGATCCTTCTATCTGGTCTCCCTATCTTAAATCTCTTTCCCTCACCAATCCATCTTCCACCTAAGATAAAGAGAATTACCTGAAGTACAGGTTTGACCGTATTACTCCCTACTTGTAAACAGAAGTGATTCCCTGTTAACTCTAGGATCCACTACGAAGTCCTCTATTCGGCACTCAAATCTCTTCATGACTTGCCATTTCTTACCTTTCCAGTCTTTGAACACATTGCTCTCCTTCGCAGACTCTCTAGTGTAGCCATCTGGGCCTGCTTGTTGTTTCTCACCCAGGATCTTCCATCTTCCACTTCCATCCCTTTGCATTAGTTGTCCCTTATACTTAGAACTCCTTCCTTATCTTTGCCTCTTGGAACCCCTAATTTCCTTCAAGAATCAGCTCAAGAGCCATCTTCTACCTGAAGCCTTTCATATACCCATAGCTGCTAATGCTCTTCCATCAATAGCTACCTTGTATTAATCTTCTGTGTATTATGGATATACTCATATATGCACAGGTTGTCTCCCACATCAGAATGTAAACTCCTCGAGGGTGGAGTCTGTTTCATTTTTGTCTTTGTTTCCATAGTGCTAGTAGTGTTTGGCACAGAATAGGAAATTAATAAATGCTTGTTAATTGATTGCATCTATTAATATTGCTTCCAGTTTCACAAGAAGAGCTGTAACTAAGGTGAAGGTGGCTGGGCTTTGACCCAGGTTGGGAAATTTAGAGGCTACCAACATCAACAGCTTATAAGGCTGTTCTCTCTTTGCTTGGAATTCCTTCTTTTCAGTAGCTTAGAAAGCTTATGGTGTCCCAGAGTGTCCTACCCGATCCTTGCCTCCCAACTTACACCTGCCAATCTCCACCTTCCCCACAAGAACACCCCCGCTACACCCCTCACTCCACACATTTACCCAGAAGCTGTCAATCCAGTTTCTTAGAAACCTCATGATATTTCAGGGCAAGTCTTCTTTACTTCCAGAAGCCACACCCTAGGTGAGTATGCCCCTCCCCACTTGACACAGTCCTACAAATTGTTGGTTATGGCTTTGTTTTCCACTCCTACCCACCATCTATTGAGATTTGTGATGGGAAGCCTGGTGACCTGCAGATAGCTTGGGATACATTTTGTTGTGTAGGAGCCTGGTCTTTTTTGTCTTAGAGGTTTCCAACCACTGAGTTAAAAGAGATGATGGGGGTGGTGGTGGTGGAAGTAGCAGTCACCATCTTGTGAGAGGGCCTAGACACTGCCAGCCCCAAGAGCCATGAGGCCTGGCTTGCTTTTCTACTTTCTCACAGAGGCTTTATTGTGAAAATTAAGCTAAGTCTTTGGAACATGGTAAAAAACAAGCAAGCAAACAAACAAACAAAAAACACCTAGGAAGTGAAACATGCAATAAAAAACTGAAATCAACAGAAGAGGCTTATACTATATTCCATGATGGTGGTGACCATTTTCACACATCCCAAGAGAAAACAGAGAACAACGGGATCCTTTATCCATCTTTGATGACAAGGAAAATGGAAAAACTCAGGAGAGCAAGACTGAAACGACAGTTTTGTTGAAACCTTTGGGGGATGTAATCTCTTATAATAGGCTAGATATTATTGAGTCATTTCATTCAGAAGGCCTACGGCTTGCAAATCCTACAGTAGTGTCCATGAACATTCAGTGAAGTGAAGTGTCCAGAAATGACTGTACTTATGTCTCTGGAAATATTAAAGAAATTAGAATGGAAAGAAATTCCAAGGTAGCTATACCAGGTAGTGGAGAGGAAGTAGAATATAGCACAAGCAAAGCATTCATAGGACCTATTTACAAAAGTCCTGAGGAAAATTAATGAGATAAAAGAAAACATCACACACACAAAGTCACTGGTGGAGTGGGAAACAAACAGAACCCTTCTTCTGAAAAACTGGATATAGACCGTGAGTTATCTCAGTTTTACAAAGAAATTCAAGAGTCTGAAGAGTGAAAAAGAAGATTTGGAAGGCAACTGTCAAGAATTTAAGCCCCCTCAGGAACAATTTAGCTTATATTGTCAAGTCCATTACAATGACAATTTAAAATCTGATGAAGGAAAGAAAAATACTTGGTTTAGTACTATACATTCACCCTCTGCTGATGAGCAGTATTTTAGTAATGAGCCAATTGGTTGGAACACTGAACGTCCAGTTAATGGACAAATGGAACCTACTTTTTAACAACAGTTCCTTCCTTGAGGTCTGAATGGCAACCAGTGGAATCTTCTTTAGTTCCTCATGGCCTTTTTCCTTCTGGCTTTAATTGTCATTTAAATTTTCAAAGATTTAATCCCTCTCCATCTCCACCACCAAATGTTTTCCATGCTCAGATGTTAAATTATGTGAAATGTACAATGGATATAATGTAAACAGTGGCAACACAAATTGGAATTGTCCGACATTTGATCGGACTATTGTGATAGGAGGCACCGTATCATACAGGCCTCCAGAAATGACCACAGTGAACAAGATGGATGAGAAAGTAATGGTTTCTGTGAAACAAGAGAAGAATCTTGGGCAGACCCTTCTTTGTTCCACATGGAGAAAACAGACAGGCTTATAAACCAGCAATTCCAAGAGGAAAAGCTGAAGAAGTTAGAGGTGTGCCTGGTTCAGGGAAAATGACATTGTCTCATATTCTGCTTCGTCACAATCGTGGTGGCATCATCTTCAGCGCTGATGATTGTTTTTGGCATCAAAATGAGTATACATATAACATTAGACAACTTGGTGCTGCCCATGACAAACCAGAGCCGAAGCATGATAACATTAGATGATGTCTCTCAGGTTTTTGAATAAATAAAACAGGCCTCTGTGTACCTGCTCAAAAAAAAAAAAGAGAGATAGTGGGGTTCATTAGGTGAATGTTTCACAGTCTGTACTCAGTACAGAGGACACTTTCATTCAGGAACAAAATTGAGACTCAACAGAACAGAGAAAGGCAGAACCGCTTGTTCTCCCCTTTATATCTCGTCATTCTGTTCCTTTGATTCTGCCTCCCAACACTCCACTTCTCATCTTTACCTGCTTTTTTGCCAGTTCTTTGATTCCATCAAAGAAATAGGTTCAACACAGTTGGGATAGAGTCAGGACTTCTGCCTTAAAGATATCAGTTTAGGTTACAATCTCTGGAAACTCATGGCTACATAACTGGGTTGGTTCATGTGCTCATAGCTGAAATCAATGGATTGTCCTTTTCATTCTTTACCTCCTTCATATTAATTCTGAGCTAGGCAATTGTGTATGGCAAGCTTTGCTATAATCTCAAAGAACCTTTTTGCCTATCCAGAATTCTGGTTATTTTCATTCTATTATGGGTCAAGAAGGAAGTCTAGTAGTTAGACCTAGTAGCTAGAGTCCTGGCTTGGAGTCAGGATAGATCTGAGTTCAAATCCTGCTTCTGACACTTAGGAGCTCAATGACTCTGGCATGACATCTAGGTGCATCAGGCAGCTAAGACATATATAAGTCGTAGAAGGCTTGTGAGTTACTCTGGTAGTGAGTTCTCCTATCTGTGAAGTTACAGATATAGGTATTCAGAATGGGTCCATCAGCTTCAGCAGTTCTCCTCTAGAATCAGGAGCACTTAGTCACCAAGCATTTATTAAGTACAAGGGTAGGAATACAAAGAAAAGAAAAGTCCCTTCCCTTGGGCAGCTCACATTCTAATGGGAGAGACTACAAGTAAACAACTATGTGCAAATAAGATATACACAGAATAAATAGAGGATAAACTCAGAGGACAGGCAGTAAGAAATCAGCTATGTCTAGCACATAAGAGGAGACTGGGAAACTCTCTTTTTGATACCCAAATTCTGAATATATTGTTTCTTTACTCCTTCCTCTCTCTCTGTCTGTCTGTCTTTCTCTTTATTTTTTTTTGTAGCCTTATATCTTTTCTCACCACAATATCCTTTTAAAATTTTTTTCAGGGGAAGGCCCTTTCCCTGGAGTAATTGATTTATATGGTCACATTGGTGGACTGATTGAGTTTCGGGCCAGTCTCTTGGCCAGTCGAGGCTTTGCTACATTGGCCTTAGCTTACTTTGCCTACGAAGATCTGCCCAAAACCGCAGAGGTCGTGGACATCGAATACTTTGAAGAAGCTGCTAATTTTCTCCTAAGACATCCCAAGGTACTTTGAGCGCACAATTTAGTTTAACCTTCTCCCTAATTTCTCATGTAATCTCTGACTCCAAATGACTGACTGGTCCTCTTTTATATAACCCTTCCATTGGCGTGGTTTGCTTCTTCAAGCTTGTAAGTTCTACTCTAGAGGAAGACAGAGGTCCTCAATCAAGTGTTCACTTCTTTCTCTTCCTGCTCTACTCTAATCAGCTCATCTAGGTTTCTTTTTCCAAACCACTTAAGGAACATACTTATCTAGTGTTTATTTCAGTGTATGCTTTGATGTTGTTTATGAGGAATGAGACTTAGTATTATCATAGCCTCACTACAAAAGGGAGCATAGCTGAGTGATTAGAACTCTACACTTAGGTGTCAGGGAGACCTGAAGACCACCTCAGACTCTTATTAGCTATGTAAACACAACAAGTCATTGAACTCTAATGGAGGAGTATAATAAGAAGGCTCACAGGTGTGTTGTCAGGATTAAATGAGAGATGGTATAGAAGGGACTTGACAAAACTTAAAGCACTGTTTACATGTGAGCTATTATTATTTATAGTGTTCCTTTGTAAGTTAACTAACTGGAGAAGTCAACAAATTAAGAAAATGCTATAATGATATTATATACAAAATATGGATATAATTCCCACAGTGTGACAGAGTCAAAAGTGTGCTACTAGATGAAGAACCAAGGAAACTTGGTATCTAACTCTGTCCCTGCTGCTAACTAGTTACATGACCATGGGCAATTTATTTAACTTCAATGAGCCTCAGCTGGGTCATAGGCAGAATTAGAGAATGGGACTGAAGGGAAGATTAGGACTAGATGGTATTTAAGGATCCTACCAGTGATTTAAAAAAAAAACCCAGTGATTTTTTTTTTAATGTGCAAGTTTACTTCTAGATGATTTTGCTTTGGAATTTTGTTATGGTAAATGCATTACCTGATAATTATCCCTGGCAGTTGATCCAATTAATCCTTATAATCCAGGGAAATAGGTGCTATTGGTCTCATTTTATAGATGAGGAAAGTGAGGCTTTGAGAGGTTAAGTGACATGCACAGGTAACTATATACATAGGTTCCACAGGTAGTCAGTGTCAAAGGAGGATTTAGCCTCCTTGGTTCCTGACTCCAAATCTAGCCCTCCTTAAACTATACCCCACTGATATGTGAAAATGCTTAGCACAGTGGCTGGAACATAAATGCTTAATACATGTTTACTGATCGATTGATTGAGGTTAGATTTGTTTGGCTTGGACACATGGGGAGGGCAGATCTAGACATCATGATTGGAAATTGCCAGAAGGCAGATTGTGGTCACAGGTAAGGAACAATTACCTGGTCTGTAAAGCTAGTCAAAAATGAAATAGGCTGCCTTAAAAGAGAGTGAATTTCCTATCATTGGAAGCCTTTAAATGGAAGATGGATGACTTCTTGTAAGGAATATTATAGAAAAGATTCTTGTTTAGATGTGAGCTGGGCTAGATGGACTCAGAAGTCACATACAACCATGAGAGTTCATTATTCTTGATGTATACAGGAATTTTGCAAACTAGAAGGTCATAAGAACAAAAGAAAGGTGTAAAGTACCTTGAGAAATTCAAGGAGAGAGAATTTCTAGATGACAGCTGAAGCTGCATGGAAGAGATGGGCCTTGTAGGAAGTCAAGGATTTCAGCTGGTGGAGATTGGGAATTGAGGACAGGGAAGAAGCCCATTTTAGGGAAAGGATATGAACAAAGGCATGGAGATAGGAGGAGATAGAGAACAAGAAATGGTGAATGGTACTGTGTGGCTGGGATACAGAATGAAAAGGAGGGCATAGTGAGAAATAACACTGGAAATACAGAGTGTAGCAAAACCGTGGGGGTCTTGAATGTCAAACTAAGACATTTCTACTTTATTTGGCAGGTAATGGGGAGCCATTGCCAAATGTAGGGTCTGAGCTGAGTCTTGAAGGAAGCCAGGGAAGGCGGTAGGTGGAGGGGAGGAGGGAGAACATTCCAGGCATGGAAGATGGCCACAGAAAAGGAAGAGAGGAGGAGATGGATGCCATGTACAAGGAATAGCAAGAGGGCACATTGGTGCTACTGGACTGTAAAGTGTGAGGAGTGGAGAAAATAGTAAGAAGACTGGAAATGGAGGAAGGAACCAGGTTCTGAAGGGCTTTAAGTGCCAAACAGATCATTTTATATTTGATCCTGAAGGTTATAGGAAGCCACTGGAGTTAACTGAATAGAGGAGTGATATGGTCAGATCTGCATATTAGCAATCAGGCAGAGGATAGATTGGAATGGGGAGAGACAAGCAGGGAGACCCACTAGAAAGCTACTGCATTGAGTCCAGGTGTAAGGTATTGAAGGCCTGCATTTGGGTGGAAAAAAGGAGGTGTGTATGAGATGAGGGATGTCATTATGGTAGAAATGACGAGATGTGACAGCAGATTGGATAGGTGGAGGGAGTACAGCAGGGTGGTTGAGGATGGTATTGACATTTCAAGTAAGGAGGAAAGTGCTATCATTGACAATAACAGGGAAATCTGGAAGAGGGAAAGTTTGGGGGAAAGAAAATGAGCTCTCATTTGGGCATCATGAGTTTGAGATGCTTACAGGCAACTGGTGATATGAAACTGGAACTCAGGAAGGAAGTTAAGGTTAAATGTATAGATGTGGGAATTATCTGAATAGAATTAATAATTGAACTCATGGGAGCTAATGAGATCACCAAGTGAGATAGTACAGTGGGAGAAAAGAGCCCAGGCCATAGAGGATACCCATGGTTATTGAAAGAGACATGGATGAAGAAGCAACAAAGCAGTCTAAGAAGTTGCTGTCAAGACAGGTAGAAGGAGAAGCAGGAGAGGAGCAGGGTCATGAAAACCTAGAGGGGAGATCATCAAGAGAAGAGCAGAGTCAGGAAGGATGAGGATTGAGAAAAGGCCTCCAGATTTGGCATTCCAGAGAACATTAGTGACTTTGGGGGGAGCAGTTTTAATGAAATGAGAAGGCCAGAAGCCAGAGTACAGAGAATTTAGAATCAAGCAAGAGGAGAGGAAATGGAGGCATTGATTTTAGATAAGAGCCTTTTCTGGTTTTCCCCTCCTCCCCATCCCCCTCCTAGTGTCTTCTATTTGAGATTACCTTCCACCTATTCTGTATGTCTTATATGTACATAGTTGTTTGCATGTTGTTTCCCCCATTAGAATATAAACTCCTGGAGATCAGGGACCATGTTTTTGCCTTTGTATCCCCAGTGCTTAGCACAGTAAGGGATAATAAATATTTGTTGACTGACTGACTGACTGTGTCACCCTACTACTATTTGACCTAATATATTTGCTATTTCCAACCCACTTTTAAGCCTTTTTTCCTACTGCTCCTGATTGTGCTATATTCTAGCCAAACATTCAGTTTGACACTCTCCTGTCTTTATGCCCATATCTGTGAAATGGACTTCCCCCTGTAGCTCATATCCTCTTGAAATTCCTTCCTTATTATACATTTATGGGGTACAAACTTAGTTGGGCCCTCACTGCTGCTAGGCAATCCTATCTTATTCTCTTCATTTATTATTTTCAGTCAGTGCCCTGCCCCAGTTTCATTTCTCCATCTTTTAAATTTCCAACCAAAATGCAGACTCTTCATGAAGCCTCCTCTCCCCAGGTGGTAACAATGCTCTCTGCACTCATGTGGTTTACAACTGTTTCATCACAGGAGCCAGACCTACAATGTTGGATTTCTGATTAGAGGCCATCTAATCCAACCTTCTCATTTTATAGATGAGAAAAATCCCAGAGAGGTTCAGTGACTCACTTGAAGTCACACTGTATAGGGCAGAGAGCCTGAAGAAGAGACCGTATCTCTCCTCATTCCAAATTTAGTCTTCTCTACAGATGTGTATTCTTCCCTACTAGATTATAAACTTCAGAGGGGAGGGGGTTATCTAAAATCTCTATCACCCCCAAGCTCTTTACGCAGTCTAAACTGGGCATTTAATACATGTATGTTTACTTGAATGGCCCTTAATTCAAAATAGTTTATGAAATGTACATCATAAAATACTACACCAATGAAAGTTGTTATTATTCCAGTCCATAAGACAGGAATGCTAAGGGAAGCCAATGGAATCATTCTTGTCATTTTTATTATTTTCAGGTGCTTGGTCCCAGCATCGGGATCGTTTCAATAAGCCAAGGGGCCCAGGTCGGATTGGCAATGGCAGTATTCCTGAAGCAGGTGGCAGCCATAGTTTGCATCAATGGTTTCTTTTTTTCAGTTGGATGTATCAAGTATAAAAATGAGAACATTCACTCACTTAATGTATTTCTTGAAAGGGCAAGAATAAATGATTTGGGGCTACTAGAGATACGTTCTGTGTTAGGAAACCCTCGAGAAGAGGCAAATAAGCATGCTCTCTTGCCAGTAGAAAGGGTCCAGGGTCATATCCTATTCATTGTCGGAGAGAAGGACTGCAACATAAATAGCAAAGCTTATGCTGAGCAAGCAATGGAGCAGCTGAGGAGACATGGAAAAAGCAATGGCACCCTACTTTCCTATCCAGGAGCTGGGCACCTGATAGAGCCTCCCTATTCCCCCTTGTGTTTGGCCTCACGGAACCCCTCTATCCTGAGGCCTGTTTTGTGGGGTGGTGAAACCATCCCTCACGCTGAAGCCCAAGAACATTCCTGGAAAGAGATTCTAAAGTTCCTCAGATGTCACCTCAGCCCAGCCAGCAGCAACAAACTGTGAGGGGATGGATGGCCCCCAGAGGTTTGGCAGCCTGGCGAAGCTGCAGTGTTCTACAACGCATACAATGAAATATACAGGGTTACAAAGGAAATTAATGCTATGGAAATAAAGGTTGTTTTTTTCCCCCATCCAAATTCACGGTCCCCCTCATTTGGCAAATGAGGAAATGGAGTCCAAGAGAGGGAAAGTGACTAGCCTGCCCTAAATGAGTCTGTGGTGAACTAGTAGTGAACTAGATATCCAGATTTGACTAAATATTCATACCCTTCTTATTGGAGCACCTTCCGAGTCTAGGTACTGAAATCAAACTTAAAAACCTCAGACTCAAGGCCAGTTATGCTGGATTAGTAGAATGTAAACTCCATGATTACAGAGATTCTTTTTCATTTTTGTCTTTGTACCTATACTATAGATTTATCACAATGCCTCAAGGGCATGTAGTAGTAGCTGATTGATAAATCTTGAATTAGATTGAAGGAGGTAGTGTGGTACTGTGGAGACCCATGTAGCTTAGATTCACTTGGACCTGAGTTCAAATGCTAATTCTGCCATTTACTAGGTATGTGACTTTAGGCCTTATTTTTCCTCAAAGTAAAATGAGGGGATTGGACTAGAAATCTAAGGTCCTTTCAGATTCTGCAATGCTGGGATCTCCAAGTCTCATTTCTGCTTGAGGGCTATGATCCTATTAAATATAGCTTCCCTCCTACTTTCTCCTCCAATAAGTCAATTAGTCAATCTTTCTTCCCCCTTTTGAGAGACAGCTGAAATTTATTGGATCCTGGTGGTGGTTTGCTTATGTATCTTTCTCTTTCTTTCCATTCACATTGTCACCAGTTCCTTCTTGCTGTAGTCTCTTTTCCTTAGTACTGTGACTCATCTTATACACTACTGTATTTTCATTTCATCAGAAACCTTCAATGGACAGCTGGTTGATCTTTCTACTGTCCCCTCACCTCTGTGATGCTTTAGCCATTTTGAGTCTAATTCTTTTGGACTCAAAGATCATTCCTCTTCTCAGAGAAGACAGAATCAGCCAGGATCAGAACTAGGATTTTTTTTGTTCAGTAGAAAGAACTGAATTTGGAGTCAAAGAAACAAGGTTCAAATCCCGGCTCTGACACTAGCTGCATGGGCTAGTCACTGAGCAAGTCACTAGGCAATCTCAGGTCCTCAGATTTGATTGGATTGATAAAAGGAAGAATTTTTTTTTTAAACATTTACAGCTGGGGAATGGGCTGCCTCAGGAGACAGTGAGCTCTTCATCGATGGAAGTTAACATTTGGAGACTGAATGACAATTTGTCAAGATGTGGAGAAGGTCTAGTAGGTAGAGAGCTGGACCTGAAGTCAGGAACATCTGGATTCCAATACAGCCTCAGACACTTAATAGCTGTGTGACCCTGGGCAAGTCATTTTGCAGCTTTCTGCTTCAGTTTCTACATCTGTAAAATGAGGATGATAATAATAATAGCACTTACCTAAAATCTTCCCCCTCCACACTCCTCTCCTTCTTATGAGGATGAAGTGAAAAGATATTTGTAAAACACTTTGCAAGCCTTAAAGTGCTGTATAAATGCTAGCTATTATTATTTTTTAATTATATGCTTCTATTATATACTTTAAGTACAGGATCATTCAAGTCCTTTCCAACAGCAGCTCCTATTTCTCTTATCTTGTTAACATCTCAAGATTCATGACTTTTGCTCTTGATGAGAGCTCATAAGGGATGAAGGCAGGATGAGATACTCCTTCTTGGAAAAACCAAGTTAATTTGTGTCTATGCCAATATCACATAACAATCCAAAAGGAATTCAGTGCTGATACTTTTTGCTTTACTAAGAATCTTGCAAAGAACAACTAAGTATGCTTACTGGTCAATAACTGATCAAATAAAACAGAATTGAAGATGCAGTTCTTACAATTTGGCTAACTTTCTTATCTAGCTATAGAACAAGCATTGATTTAAGAATAATTATTGATTTGAAGGCATAGATAAGTTGGGGGACACTCTGGGGAACTGGAGAACACTCACTGAACTGACTGTCAAGATTTCAATAAAGTTACATTGGAAAAAAAAAACGGGTTACTTAATGTTATTCTGATGTTTTGATTACTACAGAAGTTGCTCTTTTCCCAAAGCACAGTTTTGCCGCTGCTCAATTTAGAGAAGACACCACTTTTTTTAGAGTGAGATTGCATGGGGCCAACATACTCTAGGGATAATCAACATATATTAAACTCTGTTGTTAGCCTCAAAATCCTGCCCAGCTGCCACACAAAAAGGTCTCTCAGGTAACTATGAAACTTCCAGACTTGGCCTCATCAAGAGAAGGTTACCAGGCTCGTAAAGTGGAAAGAACACCAGATTTTTAGCCAGAGGATATGGGTTCATAACCCAGATCTGCTACCTGCTATCTGCTCGACCTTGGGCAATTAACTCACTTAAAGTCTTGATGCCTCATCTGTAAAGTGACAGGTTCAATTAGTTAACCTGGAAGATCCCTTCTGTCTTTGATATGAACAAGCCCATTCCTGAGTCAAGGCTGAATTCCATTCCTCTCATACCCACTCAGGGTACATGAGTGTACTCCCCCAAATGTCTAGCATTTCTAAGGATCTTTTTGACACTGGGGTCCAACATCCCCATCCTCTTCCAATTACCCTTGTTGCCCACTGCTAAACTAGTGAGAAACCATACAAATTATTTTGAAGTGCCAGTAACCTGTAAGAGCATGAGAAACAGTGGAAGAGGAGGGGCAAAGGCTGTTGACTTCTGTTGACATTCTGGCCATCACAACAAAAAGCCTATGCCACCCTTCCCCCACTATAACAACAATAACTTACTTAGCACACTTTACATAGCTATTGGGTAAACAGAAAATTTTACAAAATCTCAGGATGTTCTGAATTCCCTAGACTTGCCATAGTTTCCAGAAATAATGCTTTAAAGTAGGAGTCACCAAAGTGGGGTGAATACCAGAGGGATATGCAAAGACAATGTTTGAATTGAAGAGCGCAACACAGCTGTTCACTGTTCATGAAGATGCTGCCTGTTTTTGCCCTTCTCCCTGACTTACCTAGCACAGGGTGCACAAGGACATTGAGTCACACAAGCCCCTCCCCAGTTAGGCAGACAGGAGAGTCATTCCCCAACTTGTCCAAGCCACCTGGTTTCCACATGCCCCTGCCCTCTCCTCCAGCCTGGCTGCAGCGGCAGCAAACATCTGGTCCCCAGGCACAGTAATGTCAACCAACAGTGGGTGTAGGAGCTTCAGCCAGTGAGGTATGAGATTGTGGGGACCACTGCTCACTGTGGACTTAGGGCTTAAGTAAGCCAAGATAGAACTTTATGCTCTCTCAGATCCACAATACTCCACTTCTTACATGTCCCCCCCAAAAAAAAACAACTTGGAAGCAAATGAAGGCCATCCACAACAGGGAAACTAGGACCTATCCCAGGCATCTTGCCACCTGCCATGACATTCTCCCCTTTTCTTACTAACTGGAACAAACATCCTCTGGATCTTCTGAAACCTGACTTGTGTAAACCATACTACACCCACAGAGAAGTCATGTAGATGATTACTGGAACAATTTCAACAGAACTCTTTACATAAGAGGTAGATAAAAGTTTAGGATAAGTATTATGAATGATATAGCCAACAATGACTTCTTCCATTTGGATCTACACTTTTTTTTTTGGTAAGGCATCTTTTTTGGCTATGACAGTCATTAAAAACAAGTATTAAGATAAGCTCAACTTTGAACCTGACTTTTGAACTACTGTATGACAAAATATTAAACTAAAAAAATTTTAAAATAAAGTATTTAATGACATTGCTTTCATTAAATATCATTACTAATAATATTTTAGAGCCAAAAGGGCTTTCTACCATGAATATAATAAAATCATTAAAAAATATTGTTCATTCCATCATTTCCCTTTCTTTAAAACATTCTATTCTTGGCACACATTTTATAAAGTTTACAATGTTAGCCCAATACTACATGTGTATAATTTATAAATAGACAAAACATTCATAAATTGGAGGTGTGTCCTGGAAAATGTTTTATTGATAGTGTGAGAATTTTAAAAGTCCAGGGGCCTTCTCCTTAAAGGAGATTCCAATTCAGATATGTTAGATTAGATGACCTCTCAGGTCCCTTCCAGTTCTGAGGCAAAATTGTATTTGGTGAAATTCTCTCATGTGGAAAATTATGATCAACAATGGGCCCAGTCACAGAAATAGATCTAATGCAATAGCAGCCATTACAAATCACAAGAACACGATATCAAAACAAGGTGGGTTTGACGCAGAGTTTTGTAGAACTTGCTAAGGACTGCTTGACAATGAAATTATTTAGTGGAACCAGTCTTAATTCCTGGGCAGGGACAGGCTCCAACTTAATAGTGATCCAATAAAACAAAAACTGAACCTTACATTACTTGCACCACTTTTTAAAAAATTAACTTTTATTGATTTTTTAAACATTGCCTAAATTTCCCCTTGTATCCCTACCTCTCCTCCTGGGGGAGGGGGTGCACGAATTATCACAAAAACTATATTTTTTTAAAGAAAAGGAAGAAGAGAAAAGAATCAGCAAGATCAATCAATACATCATAACATTTAGGATATATGTGTATATGTGCGTGTATATATGTGTGTGTGTGTATATGTGTGTGTATATATATGTGTGTGTATATGTGTGTATATATGTGTGTGTATATATGTGTGTATATATGTGTGTGTATATGTGTGTGTATGTGTGTGTGTATATATGTGTGTATATGTGTGTGTATATATGTGTGTGTATGTGTGTATATATGTGTGTATGTGTGTGTATATATGTGTATGTGTGTGTATGTGTGTGTATGTGTGTGTATATGTGTGTGTATATATGCGTGTATATATGTGTGTGTATATATGTGTGTGTATGTGTGTGTATATATGTGTGTGTATATGTGTGTGTGTATATATGCATGTATATATGTGTGTGTGTATATGTGTGTATATATGTGTATGCATATAAAACACATTCAATAAGTTTCCTCTGGATTATTAGTGCTGTATATAAGGAGCAGTGCCTTGCACATAGAAGGGCTTAATTGAATTGGAAAAGGGAAACGAAAACATACAGGAAAGCAAATGATTACCGATTCTTGGGCTTTGAAGGCAAGAGAATGATAGGGGACTTCCTTAGACAAAAACATTCAGGATCAGATCAGGAGGGTGACAACAACAAATCGCCCGTGTTCTGGAAGCTAAGTGAACGATAAGCTTAAGTCATGGATCAAGGTCCAGGTTATCGACCTCTGAAGTGCAAGTGGAGAGCTGGAGAAGCACAGTCCCCTCACGTTGGCTTTGTTATGGTATTCCAGCCACCTTTCCTTCCCCTTCCGCCCCACCCCCCACCCCGGCTCAACCACACCCAGCTGGGTACCTTATCCCCTCCCCAGGCCAGCTCACTCCCACTCTGCCTTTGTCTCTACGCGGCAAAGCCGTTTTATGTGCTCAGGTTCCTGTAGGGTTCCAGGTTTGTTTTTGTTTTTTGTTTTTGTTTTTGTTTTTTTCATTTATAGCAGAGTTTAAGTTGGGGTCCAAATACTTGTGTGTGTGTTTTTAAACTATACTTCAACATAATTGTTTACTTTGTAATCTTATATATTTTATGCATTTTAAAATAATATTCTGAGAAAGAATCCATAGATTCCACCAGACTGCTAGAGAAGTACATGGCATAATAAAAGTTAAGAACCTCTGATTTATAGTATAGTGATAAAATTTTATGTAGTTGTAGTAGCTCTCACTTATAGCCTATTTCTGTGAAATTGTCCACTGCAGCACTGTTTTACCTGAAGGATTTTCTGAAAAGCGATTAACATTAGGTGCAGTGTGCCAGTAATCTATATTTTATAAAGACATCAAAATTTGTATAAATGAGGTATGAAAGGGAAAAAATCCTAAGATTTTTAGAGCTAGAAGGGACTTGAGAAAATTTGTCTAGCCCCATTTCTTTTTCTAATGGATGAGGAAATTAAGTCTGGGGGAAGTGATTTGCCCAAGGTCATACAAGCTGATTAGATTGTACGCTTAGTCAATGTTATAGTGTTACTTATGAGACAGACGTCCTCCTTTTGTTTTCAGGACGCACTATCACAACAGAATAGGCACCAATTGGATCTCAAAACAATTTAAATTTGCAAATTGTATTTTTCAAAGATTGAATTTTATTATTTGTTTGATTTTATTGTTATTTTTGTTAATACAAGGACAATTAAAGACATTAAGGTGTTAACCATGAAGAGAGGTCTCCTTGGATATTACATAACATGTATTTATTTTCGAGATGGCCTTCTGGAGACAAAGCCGTAATTCTAAAAAAAGGGACTCTCAGAGGCATTGCGGGAGAGGTGGGGGCCTCAAGTTACGGCTTATTATTCAGTGGGGCAGCCTTCCTCAGCTTTCTGCTTCTGCAGTTACAGAACTACTACCAAGGAGAGAGAACTAACCGTGGTTGTAGCACACTGGAGAGGGTTGAAGGAGGAGTGAAGGGAAGCAGAGGAGACTGAACCAGGGAAAAGAACCGACTCAAAGATTTCTGAGCACAGCTGAGGTGAGCCCAAGACGTTCCGAAGATCCCCTCTGGTTGCTTGCGGGGGAAGCTAAGAGGGAAGACTGAGCACAAGAGAAGAACTTCTGTTTTCTGAGTATAGAGCTGTAATGGAGAGAAATTGGGTCCTGCTGTAGGGGAGAAGGTACATAACACTATGAAAGATGGGGAATTGAGAGCAGCTTACCGCTATGGTTTAGGTGGTTCTCATAAGCTTAGCTCTTCCAGTATCATTTGCTTTGCGGCTATATTTTTCTTGTCTAAATAAATGCTAAGTGTGAGATAGTTTAATTTATGAATTGTCAACAGTTGTGTATTTGCTCCCTGGAAGGTGAGAGGAGGGAGGTTGGGGGGCCTTAAAATGAATGCAAAAAGGTGTGTTTTTATCCTAAAGCAGAGGACACAATGCCCCTCTTTTATCTTGGGACCTTTTGGGTCATCATGCCTTTCATATTAGCCAGGGATACAATTTTCATTGGAAGGTCCCTGACGCTTTTAATGAAGTTAAAAAAAAAAAGAACCTATGAGGCAAATAGTATATATTTTTAATAATTGTTTTTCTTTGACTTCCTGGAGGAATTTTTTCTGGGGTTTGACATTCCCAGTTAGAACTTGAATTTTGCACATGGTAAAATAAAGCTTAATGCATTATTGTTGTTGAATATGTTGTCAGTGAATCTTGGGATTCCACAGAAGCAACTCAGTATTACATCTGAGATGCTAATAACTTAATTTTGAGTTGCCTCCCTGGGAAGCTGTTTATATTTCTGCCAAAACAGCAGGGAAAGAAACTTCTGTTCAGAATAAAAGAAAAACAAATCTTTAAGCAAATTTCTGGGAAGTGGAGATTTTTATCCCTGACTTAGTAACATTATCTTTTGCTGGTAATATGTTGATTGAGTTTTATCTTACTTTTTTGTTTGTGTTACCTCCAAAGCCCCTGTGTTCTTCCTGTTTTCAGCCTTTACTTTGGTTGGCCTGAGATGTATCTTTACTGGAATCCTAGGCATAATAAGTAGGACCTCAGCCTTCTTTGCCCTCTGGTTTAGTCTCAAATAGTGTTGCTTCCATAAAGGTTTAAAAGTGCCCTTTCCTTTTGAGGAGCAGTAAGTATCTGTGTATCTTGTCTCTACCTTTCCTGAGGTCTGTATTCCTGGTAACCCTTTCTCTCCTTCCTCCCCAGTCATACAATGGTGTCTGTAGTATTGCACAAAACAGTACTTCGTGGAGTGAAATGATTGCTGTACTCAGAGAAAGAAGACCTGGGTTCGAATTCTGGCTCTGCCAGACACCATAACTTCATGATGATTGAGAAATCATAATTTCTGAGTCTCAGTTTCCTCATGTATGATAAGTAGATAATACCTGTTAAACAGTGCCTGACACATAATAATCACTTAATAAATGTTTGCTAGACTGATTAGAACACTTTAAACATGCTCTAGTTGAATGTGAGATATTATTTTATTTATTATTTTTACTCTACATCCTTTATACAGTCTTCCCTAAGAGTAAGTGAGGGTAGGGACAACCACCTGTGTGATGTGATTTGGGGAGGTCAGGTCGGAGAGGCTTGACATATCAATCTCACTGTCTAGTATTTCATTCCTTTGTGTTTTGAAGCCCTTCTATTTTTAAGACTCCCCTTTTTTATTATGTGCTTAGCCTTTATCCCACTCATGCGTTCAACTATCACCTCTGTCACTTCCCTTTCTTCTTCCTTCCCTCCCTTGCTTCATTCTTGCCTTCCTTCCCTCTTTGCTTTCCTCCTTTCTTGCTTCCTTTCTTGCTTCTCTGCTCCCCCATCTCTTTCATTATTCTTCCCTGCTTTTTTTCCCATGGTTTCACTCTTCTCCCAGTCACCCTAGCTAAGAACCTTTGACTCTATTGAAGAAACTTTATCCTGTACTGTTTCATTTCTGCTTCCTTGAATATCCTTGATACTCCATCTCTCTTGTTACAATCATAGAACTATGGATTTTTAGAACTGAAAAGGAATGTTACCTGTGCTTTGAGATCCCAACTTTCATCTCACTACTCTGTGGAGCCTTCCTTGTACACTGCCCCGAAGAGCTATCACCACTTCTGAACTTCTGTAGGCCCTTAATGTCTATACCATTCAGATTGTAAACTCCTTGAGGTCAGGGACTGTCTTTTGCCTCTTTTTGTATCCCCAGTGCTTAACACAGTGCCTGGTACCTAGTAGTGCTTAAAAATGATTGATTGGTTGATTAGCGTATGCTATGCTGACTCATTTGATGTCAAGCATTCGTTCTACTGCTTTGTATTTCTTTTTTTTTACATTTACTCATTTTGTGGCCCCTCTTTGATTTTCCAGCTTCCAGGAAGGTACTGATACCATCTAATTAATTTTTGAATCCCCAGTAAATAAGATTAGTGATGATGATGCCTCTTGGCAGTATTGTGCCTGCAAATCAAACATGTTAGTTCCCAACTGAATTTCAACGAACACCTTATGTAAACACTAACTGGCAGTCAGCTGAAAACAAGGCTCCAAAGACACAGAAATGAGAATCAGGAGAGGACATAAAGCATTGGGGACAACGGAATTCAAGGCCAGGGTGTGTCTTATCCAAGATAAATAAGATAATAAGAGAACTCCTTGTGCCCGTGATGAATTCAAGTCACCTAGCCCAGATGTAAGAACACATTGTCAGGTCCTGAAAGATCTGGCAGATTTGATTGCTTGAATCACTTCCAGTGAGTGATATTTTAAAGCTTTTGGAAAGCAGGAGAGGTAACAGAGACTAGAATAAAGCAAATTTTGTCTTTTTGTTTAAAATAGAAATGCAGAGTCTGTAAACTTGAGGCCAGTGAGTTTGATTTCAATTCCTGAGCAAATTATTAAAGCAATGATGGGTAACCATTTGTGTGTGTGTGTGCGTGTGTGTGTGCGTGTGCGTGTGCGTGTGTTTTAAGGCAGTTGGGGTTAAGTCACTTGCCCAAGGTCACACAGCTAGTAAATGTCAGGTGTTTGGTCTGAGGGCACATTTGAACTCAGGTCCTCCTGACTTCAGGGTCAGTGCTCTATCCACTGTCCCACCTAGCTGCCCCTTTGTCCTTTGTTCTTGAAGAGGACCTTGAATGACATCAGGGAGATGATACGACTTGCACATGATTTTGATTTGAGTGAGGGCTGAGCAAGGTCACCAGCCTCATTTTCTCTTCCAGAGCCATCTGGATCCAGTGGCCAGATAACAATCAGAATGACTGGAGAGGGCCCAAAATGCAGTGGGAAACCTTAGTTCTTTTAAGCTGAGGTCTTTCTAGGTTCCCACTTTGAGTGAGGCAAAGCCCATTCAGTGAATAGGCCTCTTTAAGAAGTGAGTAAAGAGATTGCTCCTTTAATTAAAAAAAAAAAATCAAACTGGAGGGAAAAACCCTCAGGGTTGCTGGCCGAAAGAGAAACAGTTACTATTTACATTCACTCCTCCAGGAAGGCCCAAAAAATAGCCAAAAGGAAGCACTGGTTATGAAAACCTATCCTTCATTAAGAACACATCCTGTTGGACTAACCCCAGGGGTGGGAAACCTGCTGCCTTGAGCCCACAGGTTCCCCACCCCTGGATTAGCCTCATTTCCTCTTATAATAGCATTACTAAAATTGCAGGTAAGGAAAATGTTGGAAATCCAGTTTGGCAAAGTTTTTTGATATCTAATGCTATTTTGGTAGAGAGGACAGAGAGAGAAGGATTTAACAATAATACAATCAAGTGGATTCAGAATTAGTTGGATGGCCAGAGCAGTTGTTAATGGTCCAGTGCCAGTTTGGCGAGATTTCTCCTTCACCTCAAAAGATTTGTGTTTGCTCCTGTGCTGCTTAACATTTTTACCAATGACTTGGATAAAGATTATACAGTGTATATTTATTAAATGTCCAGATAACACAAAACTGGCAGGAATAGCTAACACAGTGAATGACAGAATTAGTATCTAAAAGGATCTTGACCTGCTAGAATATGGGACTAATTCTCTTAAGGTGAAATATAGTAGTAATGTAAAGTCTTGCATTTAAGTAAAAAAAAATCTTCAGAATTATAAGATGGAAGAAACATGAATAGGTATTGGATGTTCTGAAGGAAAAAAAATCTGTGGGCTTCATCCAACTGTAAGCTCAATATAAGTCAACAATATGATTTGGCAACCAACAAAGCTAATGAGATTTTTGGCTTCATTAGAAGTGATATAAAGAATAGAAATGTGATAATCCTACTGAAGTGTGCCCTTGTCAGACTTCATTTGCAGCATTGTTCTTGCTTTTTTTGTGTTTAGTTTAAAAAGGCATGATATAAGAAAGTGTCTATACAAGGGCAACTAGGATGGTAAAAAGCCTTGAGTCTACAGTATTTGAGGAGTGGCTGAAGGGGCAGGGTTAACATGGTTAGCCTGAAGAAGAGAAGACTCAGAAGGAGAGACAAGTTAACAAAGTATTCAAAGAGCTGCCATGTGAAGAAAAGGCTAGACTTGTTCCATTTGGCTCCAGAAGGAATAACCAGGACCAGGGAGTGGTGGAGGCAAGTTGCAAAGCAACAGATTTAGGCTTGATGTCAGGAAAACGTCCTAGTAAGTAGAGACTCCTTCAAATAAAATGGACTGCCTAGAGAGCTGATGTGTTCCTGAGCACCACAGAGGTGTTCAATTTGAGGACCACTTGTCAAGTGTTACAGCATGTAGGTTGGACTGACTCTCTCTCTCTCCATATGTATATGTGATATGTGTGTGTGCGCGTGTGTGTATACATACTGTATGTATTTATAGTCTTTCCTGTATAGGTTCCTTCCAACTGTCTCTTTTTATTTTTAATTTATTTTTTTCTAGTCACATGTAAAAATAATTTTTAATATTTAAAAAAAATTTTTTAGTTTCAAGTTCTCTCTTTCCCTCCCCTTCCCTTTCCTTGAAAGGTAAGCAATTTTATATATGTTATACAAAGTCATGCAAAGCGTATTTCCATATTAGCCAAGAAAACACAGACCAAAAAAGAAAATTCCAGAAACAAAGTTTAAAAAAGGTATGCTTTAATCTGCATTCAGACTCCATCAGTTCTTTCTCTAGAGGTGGATAGCATTTTTCATCGAAGTCATTCAGAATTATTTTATATCATTGTATTGATGAGAATAGCTAAGTCATTCACAGTTGATCTTCATACAGTATTGCTGTTACTATGTACAATGTTCTCCTGATTCTGCTCACTTCACTTTGTATCAGTTCATGTAAATCTTTCCAGGTTTTTCTACTCATCATTTCTTATAGCACAATAGTATTCTATCACAATCATATACTACAACCTGTTCAGCCATTCCCCAATTAATAGGCATCCCCTCAATTTCCAATTCTTTGCTGCCACAAAAAGAGTTGCTATAAATATTTTGTACATATAGGTCCTTTTCCATTTTTTTTTTTGGGGGGAGTCTTTTTGGTATATAAACCTAGTAGTAGTAGCATTGCTGGGTCAAAGACTATGTAGTTTTATAGTCCTTTGGGTACAGTTCCAAATTGCTGTCCAGAATAGTTGGATCAGTTCACAATTCCATCAACAATGCATTAGTATTCTAATTTTTCCACATCTCCTCCAACATTTGCCACTTTCCTTTTCTGTCATATTAGCCAATATGATAGGAATGAAGGGGTACCTTGGTGTTGTTTTAATTTGCATTTCTTTCATCAATACTGATTTAGATCATTGTTTTCATAAGACTGTGGATAACTTTGATTTCTTCCTTTGAAAACTGCCTTTTCATATTCTTCAACCATTTCTTGATTGGGGAGTGACTTTTATTCTTATAAATTTGACTCAGTTTTTTATATAATTGAGAAATGAGGCCTTTATCAGAGAAACTTGCTGTAAATACCCTCCCTCTTTCTCCCTTCCTAGTTTTCTGCTTTCTTTCTAGTCTTGGCTTCATTGGTTTTGTTTGTACAAAACCTTTTAAGTTTAATGTAATCAAAATTTTCTCTTTTATTTCCTGTGATCATCTCTATTTCTTGTGTGGTCATAAATTCTTCCCTTCTCCGTAGATCTTACAGGTAAACTATTCCATGCTCCCTAGTTTGCTTTTGGTGTCACCCTTTATGTTTAAATCATGTACTTATTTTGACCATATTGTCTTATACAGTGTGAGATGTTGGTCTATAACTAGTTTCTGCCAAACTGCTTTCAAGTGTTCCCAACAGTTTTTGTCAAATATTGATTTCTTGTCCCAAAAGCTTGGATCTTTGGGTTTATTAAATGCTGGATTACTATGGTCATTTACTACTGTGTATTGTGTACCTAATTCATTCTACTGATTCACCACTGTTCTTCCAGTAGCAAATTGTTTTGGTGATTACTGCTTTGTAATATAGTTTGAAATCTGGTACTGTTAGGTTGCCTTCCTTCACATTTTTTTTCCGTTAATTCTCTTGATATTCTTGACCTTTTGTTCTTCCAGA